TTCTTTTAAAATAATTTGATTAGTTATTAAACTTTCCCAGCAATCTTTCATCATAATGATGTTATTGTGTATTCGCAGTTTGAAAATTTATTTAATTTACCTTGTTAATTATATTAACTAATTTCGTTTCTTAATTTTATTAACACGAAGCGTTCATTGCCAATTATAATTGATGACCAGTGATACGAATTTCAAAATGTTATATGTCATTTAACATTTCAATTTGATAAATTGTAACATTTTTCTTCTTCACACAATGTTGGGAATGAATGACGTCAAATAGAAGAACAATTATTTAAAATGCGTAAAACTCACATATGCATATTAGAAGTGATCAATTTTTAATTATAATAATTCCAATTATTTGTTTATTAATAAACTAACTATGATAATTTTAGTGATTAGGAATAAGTTATGGTGAAAATTAGTTTAGAAAAGAATTAATTTTAATCTTGAATTCGTCCAAAATTTCCATCTAAATTGATGATATTAAATTTTGCATTATTCATCATATAACTATAAGGTGTATATTTTGAGTTGATCAGAAAATAGGCGGCTAAGGTGATCTTTTCTTTTTATCTTATCTACGTTTATCTATTTATTCATGGAAGATGAAACATTCTTTAATTAGGAAATGACCCTTTCCCCTACCTTTTCCTAATATACAAGTGAAATATTTGTTATAATTTTGTCATTAAAATTCTATAATTTCACTTTTTTTTCTTGTGTTGCTACAAAAATTTTCATTCAAATTCAAAAATAAAAGAAAAAAATTACTATAATTTATTTTAATTACAATTTTTTCCTTCAACTATTATTCTTGTTATTATTTCTAATAACAGTCAGAAGTAAAATATCCCATTTCCTTTTTCCTCTTAAATATGGTTAAAACAATGATCCAAATATGCTAAAATAAATCAGAAATTAATTAAAAGATATCAACTAAGTAAATAAAGTTGATTAATTAATTAATTTTTCCACGAAGAAAAACAAATGATTGATAATCGCAAGCAAATATATCCTAGTTGAATAAGTTAAAAAAATTAACTTAAAAAAAAAGATGAAAAAAATTTAAATTAATTGAAACACCTATACCAAATATTATAGTTTGTCCCAGCCATCATAAGAAATGATAATTTTAATTTAAAAAAAAAATTTATCGTTTTAAAAAATGATTAATAAATGCAAAAGCATTCTTTTTCACACTTTAGCACTTTTCACATTCTGAAAAACTTTTAATTAATTTAATTTTTTTGAAATGAAAGAATTTCTTTCTCAATTTAATTTCCTTTTTTTTTCAATTGCCAAACGAAGATATATTTGCTTGCAATTACCAATTACCTGTTTTTCATTGTGCAAAAAAAAAAACGAAAAAAAAGCAGAGAGAAAAAACTGTGAATGGATAAACAGAAAGAAAAGAAAAAAAGAAATTAAAGTATTTATTCAATTAACCAATTAATTCCTTCAATTAGCAAATTATATTATTTATTGCGAGTATATCAAACAATTAAATCTAACCAGTTAGTCATGTGCATTAATTAAGACAAGTTTCATCATCTTTTCGATCCTTCATTCATTTGTTGTGGTAACGTAAATGGAAATGGAATAGAATAATCAATTTACTGCATATAATATTAATGTAAATTTAATTTTACTTCAATCCAATCTGTTTTACAATAAAAGCAATCCATTTATGATTTTTTTATTTTATTTATATATATATATGTATGCTTATTTGTTTATTTATTTATTTATTCATTTATTTATTTATTTATTTAATATTTATTTGTTTTCTCACCAGAAATTTGCTCAATCATTTTTATTACTCAATTTGTTTCGTTGTTTTTGAAAATTCCCAAAATAGCAAACAACGATACTAAGCGTTTATATTTATTGTCTAAAAATGGAAAAGAATTGTATTTGAAACAATCAATCATAACTATTCTTCATTGTTTTAACTTTAATTTTTGAAGCATTTTAATTTTTAAAATAAATGAATACATCGGCCGCAAAGCATTTCACAAAAATTTCATATAATTTTAGTTTTAATTTTCAATGTTTAACAAAGCACAGATGGTGAAATTGTGTAATTATGAATAAATTGTATGAAAAAACAATAGGAAAGAAAGAAAAATAAATTATTAAAAATAAAAGTAGCGAAAAAATCTTTTAAATAGATGGCTTTAATAGAAGCTGTTTGATAAAACTAAATTTTGGGGTATTTTTCTGAAACTTCTTTTTTTGAGCAATTTAATCAAAGAAAAATGGAAAAGAAGCTTACAATTAAGCTTAGCAAAGAAAAATTCATGACTAATGAAAAGAGAATCACTTGACAGGTGTCGTTTATTTATTAAATTCATGAAAATTAAAATGTAACATGAGATTGATTAATTACCCAAATATTAAAAGATGATGTCATGTTTCATTTGACAAATATCATTTATTGTTTATATCATTAAATAATTTAACTGTAATATGGAATTGACTAATTATTCAAATGATTTAAGGATATAAGTGGTGTTAGCAATAATTTGCATAATATTTTTGACCAGATAATATTGACCGGAAAAATTCAATTGCAATTTGTTAAATGAAAGTGATTTCTTCTCATTTGAGAATCAAATTGATTGGTGTGAAATTGCATTTAACGCTGGCAAATATATGAAAAAAAGGGATAAGTAAATGTTTAAAAAACACTTTTCCCATCAGGAAATGTAACTGCAAAGAATGGATAAAAACGCTAAAACGGAAATAAAATTACTGAAATTTCTTTTTCTTTTTTAATTCACTCATTTCTTTTCCCACTTTAATTTGTTTCAATCATGTGATAATTTGAAACTATTAAAAGTTGCGCAATGCACATATTAAATGATAGCTTTAGATCTAATTAATTACTAGTAATAAGAATGGGAATCGGAATTGATAAAACGGGAAAAGTATGATTAATTAATTATCTGAAGGCTCCAATTATTTTTGCAACAAATGATATTATTTCCTATTTGATAAAATTTTTCATTGCAAAATTTTACATTTCATTTATCCATCGGTTCCGTTCAAATTCTGTTGTTATAATTTTGAAATAATTATTTCACATTGTGAAAGGAATAAATGAAAACAATTCAGTCATTTTTAATTCTTCCAACATACATTTTTGCAAATAATACAATTCCTTCAATGTTTGGAATAATACAAAATTTAAACATTTTTGAAAACATTTCAATCACCTCACATTGAAATCTTCTTTTCAAAACCAATTACTAATTATTGATTTCATTATATTTCATATATATTTCATTTTCATCCTCTTAAATATTTTGTTTTGAATTATACATTATTATTTGTAGAAATTGTTTTTATTTTAATTATTTTATATTTTAGCTCGTATTGTTACCGTGATAAAAATAATAGCCATTCAATAATTAATCATTAGAAATTTCTGATTAAAAAAAAAACGAGCATATTTTCATCATCTGTTCTTTTTCGATCAAATAAATCGAAAAAAAACAGGAAAAAAAGAGGGGAAGAAAAGCAATCGTATATGTAATATTAAAACTATCGTATTTGATATTTGACGTTTCATTTTTCTTCAATAATTTAAATTTTTCAATTTTTCGCTTTCGAAAATTTTCCGAACAAATGAGTAAATTTTGCTATTGTATTTAACATTTTATTGTAGGAAGATTGCGTTAAATAATTAGACATTACATATATGTATATCTAAGCGGAAAAATCATAGATTGATGATGATTTTTGCGCTTAAATCGTATTATGACAAGATTTTTTTTCGATGTCAGAATTTGTAAACAATCTAAGCTATCACTACTATCATCAACCACTATTCTTCTTACCACTAACTATTTCCAACTGTGAAACCGGAAGACCCGAGGAAACTTAAACCGGGAATGTACCGCCCACTTATTATCATTTACTACGAACTAACATGCCACACAATTCATTGTTGTATTGCTCTCACTCTTCCATCCACCTAAACCAATCAGACAAAAATTTCGCTTCATTTAAAATCGAGCACTAACCAATCAACCAACCAGTTTATCATATTAGCATTCCTGTCATTTGGCTCTGGTCAGTCAATCAGTCAGTTACTGTTAATCACCATTCTCATTCAATCGATTGATCAATAGAGATAACCGGTATTAGTTAGTCAATCAGTCAGTTAATTCATTAGTTTACCTATCCAAAACAAACTTACCTTGCAATGTTGACATTTGGTTAAGAATGCATTTTAAACACAAATTCGTACAGTTATAATTTCGTATTCAACTTTTTTTTTCTTTTTTTTTAATTTTCCATTCTAACAAAGAAATTTTAGTTGGAATTTCTTATTTCAAATATATTAAACTTTAAATTTCTTCAAATATCACATTGCAGAAGGAAGGAAAAAAAAGCAAAAAACAAAACAATTTTAAAATTCTACAGAAAAAAATTCTTTTTTTCATATCTATTAATTGAGAAAGGGAAAATTTTTATAAAATCAATTTTCCAAATAATTACTAGTGATTATTCATTTTATGTTTCGATATATGAGTTGGTTGGTAAACTAGTTTACAATTTGCTATTTTGCAGCGAATTCATGGTACTTCCTTTTTTCATTCTTTTTTTTTTATTTATGCTCAAAGTCTGTCAGTTTATAAATTGTTTGCAAATTTTCGCATTTATTTTGTAATTTTACATTTGAATACTAAACTTTCAATTAATTTTGAATTGCATTTCTCCCAGTGCAATTCAAAATTAATTGAAAACTTTCATTCATTCATTTCAAAAAAACAAAAACAAAAAAAAAATGCTACAAATTTTTATGATTTCATATTTCATTTTATTATGTAACTATGCAAATTTTTTGGAGCTTTCATTTTTCTACCAAATTTGTTTTTTGTGAGTTTTAAAAAATTTTATTAAATTTTATTAGAATTTTCCTTTTTTTTTCTTTTTTTTCAAGATACATCACTTTTTTTTTTTAAGATACTTCAACAGCACGACAAATGCTTCAACGTAAAAACAATTTAACAACGAAACGATGGTCAGAATGGAGATTGCAACGATATCTTTTCCAATTTTGGCCTACTTATATAATAGCTATTATATTTACATCGATCGGCGATACGATTGCTGATAGCGATTTGTCAACAAATTTGACAGAGACATCAATTACCACTGGGAAAAGGTAAGCAGAGCAACAAATTCTTGTTAATCCGATGATTCAGTTCTTTTACAGTGTACCGATTGAATCCAGAAACCAAAGGACAAACAGAATACCTTCTTGATTTATTAGTAAACAGCACAAAGGTAAACTAATTTTGATTTCTTTCTTTCAAATCATATTAATTTTGATTTAATTTAAATAAAATACTTTGCGATTACTAAAACAAAGAAAAAAAAAGAAGGAATAAGTGATATTTGTTGCAGATTTTTGTAATAGACAATAAATATATTATAATGCAAGTTGACAATCTTACAAATTACTTCAAAATTGATCATTCATTTCAAAATAATCATGAAAATCATGACAGATTATTGATGAACTGTATGTTGCAATTAGCTTATTACTTATCATTAAGCCAATTTGCAGATGTAATATTTTTCCTTTTAGGAAGTTCCTTACTAATCTTATTAGCTAAAAGACGAATTTGATATTCAAATTCAAATTTAAAGAAAAAACGAAGCAATTTCTATTACTTGAAAATTATTTTTAGTTTAAGATTGATAAAAAAAAAAATTTAACACTGAAATTGAGAGAAGAAGGAAATTCGCACAGTTTTTCTTAGCTGATCTTTCACTCATAATTTTTTCAGATAGATTTCCTTTTAGATAGATTTTTGGAAAGCACCGAGAGTAGCCGGTGGTCAAGTACATGTGATGATTCGAGAAGAGATGAAGGATGGATTTTTGAAATCAATGAAAACACATAATATTTCATATTCAGTCATGATCGACGATGTTGAAAAGTTCATTTTATATTAAATTAAAAATCATTTAACAGTGAAGTTCAGCAATTCCCGAATATTGAATATTAGAGATTATAGGCTATGGCAAGGAATATCTTCAGGAGTTGTCATTTCTGAAACTATTTCTTTTAAAAATATATAATTATCGAAAAATTGAAATTTCCATTATATGATTTTCACCGTTTAATTTATTTTCAGCCTTAAAAAACAATTAAAATTATTGGCTAAATCAAATTTCGAAATGTTTCAATTTAACATTTGATGTGAGCATAAATAGAAAGTTTGATAAAAGCTTTATACATGCAATCAACTATTTCCATCAAAACACTTCCTATAATTGATTCATCTCAAAATTAGAAATTTGTTTAGCGAAAAAAATATTATGCATTTTCGACTAGAAACTTTCAAATGTTGAATTATCTTTTCCGGAAAAATTATTCTTAATTTCTTCATCCAAACACAAAGTATAAATATGAGTTAGAAGTAGATTTAAGCATTTCAAATAATTCGATTTCTTAAACATTTCAATCGTTCCTCTTGAAAATCTTTGAATATGTTCATCTAATGTTATTTCCCATCTATGCTATGCATTTTGGAAAAATCATTTAAAATGTACGAAAAAAAGAAAAAAAAATCATTAACGAATTATTATTCTATTATTTCGGTTCCATTTTCATATTCAGCTGTTTATAATTGTTTAAAAAAATACTCGATCATTATACTGTAGAATCACAACTCATCGATGGTATACATTGGTGATAATTATCATTACTGAACGGAAAAAATTCATAACTAATTTTTTGACTTCTTAGCTTTTCCAGATATTTCGATTTCGAAAAACTTTTCCTTCATTTCGTATAATTTTAGCATTTTGTGGATTCAAATGTTGAAGTTGACTCCCAAGCAGATGTTATTCTCAAAATTTGAGAAGGTTGCTAAAAACAGATGGAAGCAGAATTGTTGTATTTATAGCATATTTGATCTTAATCTAATATGGAGTGATTCTCTATGGCAATTTAAAAAATTTTAAATTTCGATGATTAGGAATTTCAAATTTTCCAAATATGCTTAAACACCAGATAAACTTTACAGGAAAATAAGAAAATTACGCGAAAAAGCCAATAGGTCACGTCATTATAATTGGTTACGAGATGATCCATCATCATCACGTCGGGTTCATTTCAATCTGGCCCAGTACCATTCATATAATGAAATTCTCAATTATCTAGATCAGTTAAGTGCTGCATATCCGGATCGTACCCAAGTGAGAAGTATTGGTGTCACCCACGAAGGACGACAGTTAAAATTAATCAAGGTGTATGAAATACAAATGATTAAGGAATGAATGAGATACCACAGAAAATTATTTAAGGGCTAATCATTTTCATTAAATTTATTGTAATTTGAGTTTTACATTTAATTATTCATTAAAATGACCAAGTATAAAATTTACATAACTTCTAGATTGGCAAGCCAAGACATTTTCAAAAAGCAGGCATTTGGATCGATGGTGGCATCCATGCACGTGAATGGGTTTCACCATCTACTGTACTGTATATGATAGATCAAGTAATTCATTTATTTTCCAATTTTAACGTCAAATATTTTCTTTGTATATTCCCTACGTAATCTTACGTAAACGTTTCCTACGTAATCTTATGCAAATATCGTAAATAACAATAGATCAAAAATTCAATTATTCTTTGTATGTATTTCAAAGACTGATACTGATACTAGGAAGTTGTTTTTTACAAAGATTAATCCTTAAGTTTAATGACTATCAAAACTCAGAATTCACACAACTGGCAAGCTTCAAATTTATAACTTGTAAACTTTAAGCAATTTTTTGAAATAAAAAACTAAATTAAAATAATAATTTGATTATTATTTGAAAATTAAAAGATTTCAATTATCTTCTGATGGAAATCAAGCAATTTTCCAATTATTTTGCCCATCCTCTCTACTTTCACATTTTATTCTGTGCGATGTTAACATTTAGCAGTTAAAATAAAATGATTGAAAATTACGGAACAATAGTTTGCCGATAAAATTTAAATTTTTAAAACAATTGATAAAGAGCAAAGAATATTTCTTTTAACAAATATTTTGTTAATTAAATCGTTTCATTTCAGTTAAGTTTAAAACGACTGCGCGTATTTCCTTATTTTTTTAAAATTCATTTTTGTTTTATTCGATTTAGTTTTTTTTTCCTTCTCTAGTAACTTTGTTAATGAAACATACCTGTGTGAAATTAACTTTTAGAAAAATTCTGAATCATTTGGAGCTATAAAAACAATCACATAGAGTCAGTCGAGAATTCTTGCTAATTATCGCACAGTTCAAATTTTCCATGTCATACAACTCGCTAAAATGAAAAATAGCGCAAGATTTTTTTTTCCATTTCCACCTCAAACTTGAATAATTAAGTGATTAATTAAATATTAGCATCACATAATAATTAAGAATTACAAAGCACAAATTAACGCGCAAAACTAAACTCCGAAATGTCACCACAAAATAAATTTTCGAAGACATTAATCTGAAGAATAAAAGAAGGGAAAAATGTTATTCCACCATGTATAGGGGTTTATATATATATATATATATATATATATATATATATATATATATATATATATATATATATATATATATA